CATTGAGATGCCAATGTCCTTTATAGCACATCCCAGTACTTATTCAGTCTTTAGGGAAAAACACAGGTGACAATTTCAGTTTCATGGTGTGCACCAGAACATCATGACCATTTGTGAGTGTTCTATGTATGTCTCAATTGATTGAATTCTTCCTTTATGTAAATGTCTGGAATTCCACCATCAGGAAGTACATTTCATTCTAATATTCCTTGTAGGTCCAAAAAAACTCAGGCAGAAACTTTGAAACTGAAGAGGATCCAGAATCAGCTCCAGGCTTTGGATGACCTGGTGTCCACAGACATTGGCATTCTGCGGAACCGTATTGATCAAGCATGCGTTGAGTTTGCACAAGCCAAGTAAGCAACTGCCTATATCTTACTTCAAAATCCTCCTCCTCAGTGATGGCAAGGTCCACTGTTTTAGTGCATTTATTGTGTGTTTAACTTGAAATTCCAAGATTAATATAAGGTTAATTATTATTACGTTGTCTCACTGGTTGCTAAATGCTTTCGTACCACTTTTACCCATTTGCAATGGATAAGACTTCAGATTCCTACAGTATAGAAAGGCAGAAGGAAAATATGTCTTAGGATTTTGTTAAAACAACAAAATAGTTGTCATTGTCTGTTCTGGGTTTTTTTTTTTTTTTGCATTACTGAACATTTTTTCATTTGTTTATTTTTTGTCACAAAATTCATTAAATTATGTATTTTCCTTAAGGAAACGATTTGATAAAGCCGAATCAGAGTACATCTTGGCCAAACTGGATTTGCACAAGAAGACTGAGCTGAAGGAACAGCTTACAGAACATCTGTGCACCATAATCCAGGAGAATGAGGTGCGGAAATCAAAGCGATTGGAGGAACTTATGAAACAACTAGAGGTTGAAACTGACGAGGAGAAGCTGGAACTGGAGATTGAGGTGGAGCAGATGTTGCAACGTCAAGAAGCAGAGGCACGAAAACAGTTAATAGTGCCTGAAGCCGAACAGTCCACCAAACCTGGACCAGTAGAAGAAAATATTCCACCAGCGGTAGAGAAAGAACCCTCCGCTGTACTTTTAAACCCATCGAATGATGGAGGTCATAGTGCTACTCCAGAGACAAATCCTGCTCCTGATGGATAAGAACACAACTTTCTAGTGAATCCAAACTACTTGATTGACAATCACGGTTGATTGTTATGTACTCCCATATGTACCCCTTCTTTACTCATCGTAAGTCGGTGGCTAGGACACTTTTGTGTTTTAAGGTAAACTGACATTTAATTTTAATTAAACGGATCACTCTAAGCAACGTAACTTTGCATTAATGTAAAGTTGATGTTGCATATCGTAACTTCATGCTTAGTAATGTGATGATTTGTAAATCAAAGAAAAAAATCCTTGCTATAAGCCAAACCCCTCCAGAGCTTCCAATGAAGCAGTCGAAATTCTATCTTCTGTGATGCCTCTGTTTAAGGAACATCCCAGTGTTAACAAATCATAAAACTTGAGTGTTGGTAAATCACCTGGGCCCCATTCACCTCATTCCCTTCCATGGTAAAGGGAATTTTTGATTCCAGTTTGGAGCAATCGAGCCCAGTCTGTGGCTTTGCCAATAGCTGCCCAATTCACTAAACTGAACCCAGCTGTGTGCATGCCGCTAGTAGCCGCTGTATGGCTGCTATCCGTTCATAGAGCGGTTCCACACCTCAGAGCAAGGGGGACTGTGAGATCCACTAAAAGAGATCATTACTTCTATCTGTAATTACAAAATAATACACAAGACTTTATTACATACAATCCTGTAATGTCTAATTTGCTGTACTCTCTCCCCTTTTTAATAGATCATGGCATTGGGTGATTAGTTGCAGAAAATGGACATTGTCTCTTTAAATTGGCTATTTTCTATATTGTTTCTGAAAGTCATCATTCGTTGATTATATCAGGAAAGTGAGTGTTTAATTTCAGATGGATGTGAATTAAGGAGCTATTTTTACATGCGGTCTACCTTCATTTTGGTTTTGCACTCATAACATTTTATTCTGAAATTGCAGATTTTTGCACAGAAAGCCCACACACGCAATGGGAAAACCGATTTGTGTGATATGTTGATTTTTAAAAAAAGTATTTTTCCAGCTTTTTTTTTTTTTTCTAGCATAATTTTGTGAATCGAGCAGTTTTGGATGTTTTTCCATCACTGTAACTTTCTTGCGATGTGTAAACACTACTTGTGTTGCAGTTCCACTACATTACCCATCGCCTTTTTATAACGCATTGCCTCCTGTACATAAAGTCTGGATGGTTCTCGCGCCACTTTTTATACGCTGTTCATTGCCATTTAAGATGAAATGACCTGTAAATACTTGTACATGGCTTCTTGGCGTCAGACATTTTGTACTTTTGATTTTATTACTCATTAAAGCTATGTAAGGGTGAACATTTCTCACTAATAAACACAAATAACTTTAACTTCTGTATGTAAAGTTCTGCTACCTCGAAAGGAGATCTACTGTAACCTGACAATCCCATAACATTAAAGGGGTAATTGTTACTGTATCGTTTTTTTATAGGTATTGGGATAACTGACAATTAACTAAAAGATAGTTATGTTTTGTGGTATATTTATTTAAGAACAATGTATTTTTATTTTTAGACAAAACGTAAAATATAAATGAATTTAAAGCCTGTGCATAGAAAAACTTTCATCTAAACTTCATCCAAAAACTAGGTGCCCTGTACAGCTGATGCCAGTCATTGATTATGGGGATGTAGTACATGCACTTGCACCACAAACCCACCTTAATACATTGTATAACTCGTTCTGCCGCTTTGTGCTACAATGTAATTACAGGACCCACCATTGTGACATGCTAAAAGAACTAAACTGGCTATCGCTGGAATCCCGACGCACCCTTCATCTTTCCAGCCTTGTGTTTAAGAGCTTTTCTGGGAAGCTCCCACCCTACCTGAGCAGAATGCTTTCCCCAGCTGTTCCCCAGCTCCTATAACCTCCGATCCAGTACCAACACTTTATTTAGTCTACCTCAATACAAGCGGCCCGATCCTCCTTCAATTATGGAACGACCTCCCGCACACTTTAAAATCTTCCCCAAGCCTAAAGTCCTTTAAGAGATCCCTCTCTCCATATCTCAAAACAGAATGCACCTGTCATGGTTGATTATATATTTCCTGCCTGTCCTATGTAAAATTTTGTATTTATTGTGTATTAATATTGTTTTTGTATTTTATTGTATCCTACTAATGCATCTTATGCTGGTTATAATATCCTCACCAGTGTCTTTCTAGAGTGGCGCTAATCCTTTACACTTTTTTATATTTTGTACTTGTCTCTTTAGGGATAGAGGGATTCCATTTCTACAGTTCTGTTATTTTTGCCTAATAGATTGCAATTCCCTGGTTAATTTCCATACGTTCCCAGTTTAGTTTTGTAAATTCACTTTTGAAAATTCAGCTTTTGAAATTTGGGCTTTGTAACCTTTCGTTAGGTATTGTGACTTCATGTCTATATTCATTAATGATATTTGTTTTTTTAAATGTATTTTTATGCGTTTTACAGTGTGGGTATTATAGCCTCAATTTCATATTTTTTTTAATGATTTTTCAAAAGATTAAAATATCAAGTGTTTAAAATATTTTTCAAAATTTTACTTAATTTAAAAAGCTTATCTAAAAACATCAAACCATTTGAAAAGCTTATCTAGAAATATTAAATCGAAGTCTCTGTCTGTTAAAACATGAACATAACTGTAGCAAGCTTCCTTTGTGTTTGGTTGTCCGTACCCCCTTGTTCGTCTCCCAAATGACTGGTGTGTGGTCCCACTCATTTTATACCTCAGCGAACACTAACCTCCCCTGGCTGTTAAACACAAATTAACAACTTGACACATTAGCTCGAGTGCTTTCCCTGGGTGGCCGCCATACGTATAACCGAACGCACGTGGTCCAGTGAATTTTGTCTCCCGAACAAAGGCAGCGGTACATGGTCGTCAAACACCTGGAACTATTTTCGGGCCATCGGAGTTCATACTGCTGCCCGTTCAACTTCCCGACCATCTAGACGAACAACATTCAGGAGATATGATATACCGACCAGGGGGTGCGTTAGTACAGGAACCTCCAAAAGCCAACTAGTCATCCTGACCTATTCTCTGGAACTGTTTTGGGCTATCACCTCGTGGCCGGTCAGTCAAAGCTGTACTCAAATTACAATTCCGTTCTACCGAACCGATCTGAGTGCTTTTTGGATATGTTGAGCGCTCAGGTCAGAGCTATTTGGGGATATGGTTTTAGTTGGGTTCCTGTACTGTTTTCATGTATTTTCGGGGTATTGTAGAAATATTATATAAGTTTCTGTGTTTGTGAGATAATTGGGTTATCTCTCAAACACAAAGGCTCCTATGTTGAAACCCCTGTATTTTTTGTTGTGATTACTCCCATATAAACCTGTGGTTCATTTAATAAAACTAGTTCTACTTCGCCATTCACTAAGTCTCGGCTAGTGTTTGGGCGAGACAGCTACACACTCTGCAGGAGAGAGTGATAACTTGGAGCTGTACCCAGGACCCTGTTCCAGGGCGGGAAGCTACGGAGATATCCCAGCCAAGATGAGACCGCTAGGGGCTGAAGCGCTAGTGGTGTCCCAGTGATAGCTAGGAAACAAGCTTGATGGAGGTACCCAGTCGGGTTGCCAGTTGGTCCATCACAAAGATTATTTTTATATTTTACTCTGTGAGTACACTATATTGGGGGGACTCCCCCAGCTTTTATCTTTTTGTTTTATACTTTTCTGTAAAAAATGTTAAAATAATCTTAATAAACGTCACAATACCATAGAAGGCCCGTCTCCTTTGTACTTTTTAGGTCTTATCTACTAAATGTGAAAAACATGATTGAAAATTGTGCGAACTGTGTGTCCTTGTTTAAAACAACAGGAAGGTAAAGCATTACTTCTGTTTCTTTCTGTATATGTACAAACAGCAGTTGGAGAATGTCACAATATATGTTTTAGAACTTCTATGATGATTTACTCTCAATGGGAGTAGTACACCTTCTGCTAATCTACTTTTTGCGTTCCCCACAGACATTGCTCACCTACAATTCCTCTGATTCCTTCTTTGTCCATCTATTGCATTCATGGAGTTGCACACTGCCAGTAATTCTAAGTAAAGTTTTAATTCTAGAGTAAAATATCCCAACTTAATGTGAAGGAATACCCCATCATGTCCGTCTCTTTCTGTTCGTCTGGATTCATATCCCAGTTTTATTTAATTTATTCTGTTTGGTTCCCAAACTGAGACCACCCCAGAGACCAAATAAAACAAGGAATGTTAAGTATCTCTACGAAAACCACAAAGGAACTAGTTAATAGAATGCTCCACTGGGTGGCCGCTGTTTCGTGCATGGGTACACACGTGGTCGGGACAATGGATGGCGGCCATCTTGTCTCCCCAATGCTGGCAACGGGACTGGGTCGTCGAGTGCCTGGAACTCTTTTTGGCCAGGCACTCCCGCAAACACCTGTCATCATAGACCTGCTGTCCGTTCCAGTTCTATTTCACCTACACGAACGGCGTTCAGGAGTTAGCCTACCAAACACTGGGAGCATTCTACATGAACCAGCTTTCATCTAACTTATGTGGTTTTCGGACAAAACCCCAGGAACGGAGACCAGCTCTTGCCACCAATTCCCTGGAACTATTTTGGGCGTCTACCTCGGGGCAGACTGGTCAGAAGTTCCCCGCGATGGCAATCCAAAACTACCGAACAAATGTGGGTGATTTTTTTTGTATATATTGTTTGCCCAGATCCAAGCTATCCAGGAATTTTGTGGGGTTTCCATGTATGTTGGGGGTACTTTTGGGGTGTTGTAAAATTGTACCTTTTTCTGTGCCTGGAGATAATTGAGTTCCTGACTCAATTATCTCTGAGGCACAGAGGAGGAGTTTACTGACTGTAATAATTTGATGCCTGTACTGCCATTAAATCAGTCTCCTCCCAGCACTAAGTCTTGGCTCATGTGTGGGGGCTTATGGAATACCGCTGCTATTTTACCTTGTGGATTATTTGGGGTTCTTGTATTGGGAAAAGGGTACCTTGGCAGACCGCCACACATAACTTGGATGATTTTTTCCAATTCACCTTTAAATGTGACTTTGTCACTTAATTCGCTTTGATTTCCCAACATTTTGCACTTTAGCGAATAATCCTGTAAATGTTGAAATGTTTTGCATATAAGCACATCGAGTTAGTATCCTGAAAATAAGACATTTTAAGTGGTAAAGTGCTGAGACACTGGAAAGTCTTATTCATCAATAATTGCTTAGAGCGGACCTCGTAACTTCACAAAAATACATCTGTTTTAATGTTCCACTTCCTATTTCTTCCGTCTGTTCCTCTAGATTCTGCTCTGTGCCCTGAATGCGTTCAGGTGCGTAAAACGCATGTCACAGGGAACGCAGGCTTCTTCAGCTGTCAGCTTGCGGAGTCAGCCAGACGTGTTTTGAATTTTCGAGGCAGACTCTCATATTGCTGGCTGTATCCAGTTTCCCTTCAATTAAATCAAAGACATATACAATATGCCTAAGTCTATCTAAGGAGGCAAATGCCAGATCGCTATGTTATAAAAATGTTAAAAACCACCAGAACAGAGTCATGAAAATAGTCACATGTGCAACATAAACAGAGGTCAATGTCTATATGACATTTTTTGGGCGTGATAAAAATAAGAAAATAAGCAGTTAGTTCAGTACGGGCTCTGCGAAGGGACCACGTCTGTCAATTTTTTTTTTCCTAGTTTTTACTAAATTGGAAGTGCTTCAAACTGGTTTTTTTGCCTTCGTTTGGCTCAACAGCAAAAAAACAAATATGAGGAAGGCTGAACTTGATGGACACGTGTCTCTTTTCAGCCTATGTAACTGTGTAATTAGACACGCTGCAATGGAGGAGAGAGGGGGCTGCTAATTTTTTTTTCCCTACTCTAATATGGGGAGCCTGGTGGGTTCACTGACCTTGTAGTTTCCGTGAGTGTTGCTTTTGCATGATGAAGAACAAGCCTGCAGTTGGCTTAAAGAGAACCCCTAGGCACCATATATAATTCACTGGGATTAAGTTGTTACAGTGCAAGAAGGTCTCTGGCGCAAGCTTACCTTTAAGGGTTAAACAGTTTATGAGCAGTTTAACCCCAAAATCTGTAACCCAGCACTGTTTAGCTCTACCCCTGTTCATCTAGTTGTCTCTGAGGATTAAATTGGTATTCTTCGGACAGGGGTGTTGGATTGAATCGGTATGCTTCGGACAGGGGTGTTGGATTGAATCGGTATGCTTCGGACAGGGGTGCTGGATTGAATCGGTATGGTTCAGACAGGGCTGTTTGATTGAATCGGCATGGTTCGGACAGGGGTGTTGGATTGAATCGGTATGCTTCGGACAGCGGTGCTGCTTTCAATCGATATGCTTCGGACAGGGGTGTTGGATTGATTCGGTATGTTTCGGACAGGGGTGCTGGATTGAATCGTATGCTTCGGACAGGGGTGTTGGATTGAATCGGTATGCTTCAGACAGGGGTGTTGGATTGAATCGGTATGCTTCGGACAGGGGTGCTGGATTGAATCGGTATGGTTCAGACAGGGCTGTTTGATTGAATCGGCATGGTTCGGACAGGGGTGTTGGATTGAATCGGTATGCTTCGGACAGCGGTGCTGCTTTCAATCGATATGCTTCGGACAGGGGTGTTGGATTGATTCGGTATGTTTCGGACAGGGGTGCTGGATTGAATCGTATGCTTCGGACAGGGGTGTTGGATTGAATCGGTATGCTTCAGACAGGGGTGTTGGATTGAATCGGTATGCTTCGGACAGGGGTGCTGGATTGAATCGGTATGGTTCAGACAGGGCTGTTTGATTGAATCGGCATGGTTCGGACAGGGGTGTTGGATTGAATCGGTATGCTTCGGACAGCGGTGCTGCTTTCAATCGATATGCTTCGGACAGGGGTGTTGGATTGATTCGGTATGTTTCGGACAGGGGTGCTGGATTGAATCGTATGCTTCGGACAGGGGTGCTGGATTGAATCGGTATGCTTCGGCCAGGGGTGCTGGATTGAATCGGTATGCTTCGGACAGGGGTGTTGGATTGATTCGGTATGTTTCGGACAGGGGTGCTGGATTGAATCGGTATGCTTCGGACAGGGGTGCTGGATTGAATCGGTATGCTTCGGCCAGGGGTGCTGGATTGAATCGGTATGCTTCGGCCAGGCGTGTTGGATTGCTTCGGACAGGGGTGCTAAGCCAATCAGTAGCGCCCATTTACAAATAGGCTTTGGAACAAATATACCAAAGCCGTTTTGATGAATAGGGAGCTACTGAGTGGCTCAGAGCTTCAGCGTCCCATCTAGCCAGACGAGGAGCGAAACAGTTCTGGATTCCAGAATTTTCAGGTTAAATCCTAAGAGTAAAAGGTGGATGTTAGGAGTAACCGGAAAGACACTATAAGTGATGGTGGGATGGAAATATAATTGGCACACTACAATCTGTTGGAAAGATTGAACGGGGCTTGCTAAGCACCATAACCACTATAGCTCATTATAATGGTTATGGTGCTATGAATCTATGGCCACTGATTGGCTCTCCCTGAAACTCATAGGCCACACCCTCTCCAGCACACTGTGAAGGAGACACTCCAGACTTCTAAAGCTGTTTAGCTTGCCTTATGTGTAAAGAATGTGTCCTATTTGTTTCATTTTACAGATTGAAGTACAGATTAAAACAGAAATTGGCACTTCTAACTATGTTACACCCCCTTGTCTGTCAATCAGACACTGTGCCTGTTACTTCCTGGTGTGTTTAGCTCTGTGGAAATACACTTAAGGACAGCAATTGCCCAGAGCACCTGCCTCGCAAAGACTTCTCATTGGAAAGTTTGTGATTGGACTGCCACAGAAAGTCTATGCGGGATTAGAAGGGGAGGGCTTGCAAAGGCTACAGATAAAATATGTTTTTAAATATAACCCCAATGGAAAACTGCACAATTAAATACATGTATTCTTTTTCAATGGCACTATATCCACTAAATAGTGATTTAAAAACAAAAAATTGTATTTGGGCAGTGAGGTGTCCAGTTGCAGAAATAAATGCAAACTGTTTTTTATTGAGTGTATCTACTAAACATAGATATTTATTTGGGCAGTGGTGTGTCCCTTCTCACGGCTAGGGAATATTATTTCACAGGCCCCCCTAGTAAGCTCTACTTATTTAACCACTCCAGGACTCTCTTTATGGAGATTTACCAATGGCATTGTCATTGAGGGGTAAAGGTCCGGTCTTACAGCATGGGGGTTTGCGGTTAGAGTGATGCTTGCCCGCACCAAATCTAAACAGTAAATGTTTGGCTTCAAAACCCTACTTTTGAGGTTACAAGCGCACAGTTATTGGAGAGCATTAAACATTTTATCCCAAGTTTCTATAGGATATAGTAATTCCTGTAGTTCTAGAAATGCTAAAACCATTACATAACACAGAACATTAAAAACATAAAAAATTATAATCTAGACACAACTTGTGAAAAACTATTCACAAAATTCACTTCCAATAATTCAATATTGCAGCCAGGTTTACCATATATTTTTATATCCCCAGACTTGTCACTCATTCCTTTCTATTAATGTGTCGGCTATTTCAGGTTACGCCTACAGCAAGGCGTACAGAACGGTTTTCGTTTTATAACATTTCCTGAAATTCAGTGTTATTATGTGTCTTCATCACAATCTCAATCTAAAAGCTGTCTGGTTCTCTTGTCAACGCACTGCTGAACGTACCAATTGTTATCCGTTCAACTTTTTCTCTGTTAGCCACACGGTCTGAAGATCAGCGCCCCCAGATCATGAGGCTTCCATCTTGTGGGTATGGCGTGTATCACAGTATACTGATAACGATGAGATATTTGGCATTAACATATTGTGTACAGTGTGTGGGATGTGCTTTTGCTGTTTTGATGTAAACGTTTAGGCAGGGCCCTCTTCTCCGACTGTTCCTGCATGTTAGAATTAAATGTTTGTCTTGTTCACCTGTTGTACAGCACTGCGGAAAATGTTGGCGCTATGTAAATAAATTGTAGGTGTATGACTTGCTTTGTTTTGCTCGGTTAGATCATTTGTCAATTGTTGCATGTGGCTTATGACGTCTATTGGCTGGTGAATTTCATAGGACGCAAATGTTTCCAATAAAGGAAGATTAACTGAAATGTTTAATGTGTCTGAAGCCGGTCACAGTGACCGTTTATAAAAATGCCAATTTCAATAGAATTAACTCTTTTATAACTGAGGGCAGAAATACCACTCTGGCTGTCACTCAGACACTAACAACTACTTACTCAGTCACTGAGACACTAACAACCACTCACTCAGTCACTGAGACACTTAACAACTTTGCAGACACAGTCACTCAAACACTAACAGCTACTCAGACACTAACATTAAGTCAGACACTAACAGTCACTGAGACACTAACAGCCACTCAGACACTAACAGCTACTCAGACACTAACAGCCACTCAGACACTAACACTCCACAAAGCTAACAGAGGTGACAGGTGCTCTAAGTTAGAGTGTGCCTTCCCCTGTTCTCAGTAATTTGTACTGAGGCCCATTGAGAAGCATGCACTCTCGACTCCAGCACGGAGTTATCGCAAGTAATTTTTTTATATTCCACATTGAAGAAAACGTGCAGTAAAAATACATGGTTGTTTTTTTTGAGGATATATCAAACTGTAATCCATTGATAAATATTCTCCCAGGTGATTGAAAGTGTTTAACCTTGTACAGTATAGATCAAAGCACCCATTATTGAGTAATTATCAAACCATAGCTTGTGATCGAGGCTAAAGTTAGAAGAAAAACTATTTCTAGTCATCAACAGAACAATAAACAAAGAGAAAAATGTCGGCCAACTGTGCCACCAGATGCTAATACATGTCTTCTCCCTATCTGACGTACCTTGGGACTCCGCTGTTATGATAACTGGCGAGGGTCTGCACATAAATGGTAAACTGTTGCTGCTTCTTAGAAAATTATAAAAGGAAAAATAACTTAGATTTATCACAAATACCACAAAATCTAAATTGGTATTTAAGACCCAACTACCATCTGTTTTCAGTTTGGAGCTCCACGTCGTTTCCCATGGACATAACATTTTCACGGACTTGTCTCTCCCAGTGATGGAGTCAATTTGTCTATTCCAATGCACAGTGATCGTTCAAGCTTAAAATGTTTTATCAAAATGTTATATCTCTGTATCTACCAAATCACATGTTCATGTGTAAACAATCTTTTTTTAAAGTATATTTTCCACTTAACATCCTTATTATATTATTGCGTTTTCATCATCCGAGACGAGAAACTATTTTACTGCACAGTTTATTTCATTTTTGTCACAGTACTTACATTATTTTTGGAGGGGTGTGTGTGAAATATATGCCTTTTGCACTTTGTACACTAATAAAAACCTCCTGGATTATTTCTGAATGAGTTCATGTAAGAAGTGTCAGCTCTTGGGAATAGATGGGGCTTCAATTCTTTCACCCATATAAAGATTACAGATGGCTTAATTGGACATGCCTTTATGTAAAATGTTATCCTGCAGCAGATCAGACTACCATTGTATTTCCAACCTTTGAATTCAATTAGTTCTACCATTATAATTGACGACAAAAGATTCCTTCCTTTTTGATTGACTCATACCTATATCTATGTCTTGCTAACCTGTTCGTTAACTAAATGAAGCACAAGACGTCGTCCACTGAGACTTTAAGAAAGGAGATTTCTCCTAGGTCATAGGAAAGGGTTCTTTACAGTAAGAACATTGAGAATGTGTTATTCTTATTGTTTTAGCAGATTCTATTCAGATGTTAATAAATGTCTGAATGTTTTTTTTAAAAAGTAGTTGGTGTCTGCTATCTGGTGCTCCCCAGAGGTGTCACTAGAGAGGGGAGTTCCAACTTTAAAGGTGGGGCTTCAGCATTGAATGTGGATCTATATAAAGATGTGGATTCTTAAAAGAATTCTGTAGATATTTAAAAATTTCTGTAAAATTATCTGGATTTTTTTTTTTTTTTGCAAAAGCAGAATGTCCAAGGATATAATTAATAAGTAGGTGAGCCAGTTGATCCAAAGAGAAATCTGATTGCTGCCAGCCTGCTCACCTCCACCAAGGCTCAACTCAGTCACCAGCCTGTCCATCTCAGCCAGCCATCTGCCCATCACAGCATTGGTCCAGCTCAATCACTGTTACTTCCCGGCTCACTTACCCAGGCATACCATAATTAGGCTGCTATAGAAAATCATTGCATTCAGTGATTCTCAATGACATGAGAATCATTGGCGGATTGGGGTGATCGCCCGTGCATTAGAAGCATTGGGTTGGACCATCGTCCTGAAGGCATGCATCCATGAGGACTTTACACATGGAGGAGCTGGTAGCAGTGCTAGGATACTCAGCACTGGAGACATTTATATTTATGGATACCATATGATTAATGCTAAAGTGTAACTGTAAGGGCGAGACATCGGATCCATGAACTGCTGTAAGTGGCACAATGTAGGACGAGCGACACGTGGTTGATTCAGTATCAGATAGCGTACCATGATGTTAATAACAGATACATATATAAACACACTGTGTTACCGCAGTTCTATCCAATCACACGGTGTTACCGCAGTTCTATCCAATCACACGGTGTTACCGCAGTTCTATCCAATCACACGGTGTTACCGCAGTTCTTTCCAATCACACGGTGTTACCGCAGTTCTATCCAATCACACTGTGTTACCGCAGTTATATCCAATCACACGGTGTTACCGCAGTTCTATCCAGTCACACGGTGTTACCGCAGTTCTATCCAGTCACACGGTGTTACCGCAGTTCTATCCAGTCACACGGTGTTACCGCAGTTCTATCCAATCACACGGTGTTACCGCAGTTCTATCCCATCGCACGGTGTTACCGCAGTTCTATCCAATCACACGGTGTTACCGCAGTTCTATCCAGTCACAAGGTGTTATCGCAGTTTATATCCCATCGCACTGTGTTACCGCAGTTATATCCCATCGCACGGTGTTACCGCAGTTCTATCCAATCGCACGGTGTTACCGCAGTTATATCCAATCGTACTGTGTTACCGCAGATCTATCCAATCACACAGTGTTACCGCTGTTCTATTCAATCACACGGTGTTACCGCAGTTCTATCCAGTCACACGGTGTTACCGCAGTTCTATCCAGTCACACGGTGTTACCGCAAATCTATCCAATCACACTGTGTTACCGCAGTTCTATCCAATCACACTGTGTTAACGCAGTTCTATCCAATCACACGGTGTTACCGCAGTTCTATCCAATCACACTGTGTTAACGCAGTTCTATCCAATCACACGGTGTTACCGCAGTTCTATCCAATCACACTGTGTTACTGCAGTTCTATCCAATCACACTGTGTTAACGCAGTTCTATCCAATCACACTGTGTTAACGCAGTTCTATCCAATCACACTGTGTTATCACACTGTGTTAACGCAGTTCTATCCAATCACACTGTGTTAACGCAGTTCTATCCAATCACACGGTGTTACCGCAGTTCTATCCAATCACACTGTGTTATCGGTCCCCTGGATGCATTATTCTGCTACACTCTGGCTACAACTGCCAAATCTCAAAGCAGCATTCCGTTCCTTCATCCTGCCTTAGGAAGGGATAGAATGAAATAAAAAAATAAAATTCATACCCCGGCATAACAAATGTTATTTTATTCCTGGTGGTGGGATCTGGTTTAAGTTAGTTGTTTATGAACTGAGAAGCCTTTCATGGGTTTTGTAACACAGTGATTCAACAAACAAAACCAGTCACTTGATGCACTCATGTCAAATTTTATGTTACAAGCAATGATACACGTATAAACAGCAGGTTCCGTCGCCCAAGGGTGTTTACATTTTATTTCTTAATGTGAAGCAGATGTGCCAAGAAATTGGGTTTTATGTAGAATATACTATATGCAGCATATAACATACTTTGTAATATGTTCTGCAATCTTCTTTTATTGAAACAGAATAGATTATTTTGGGCAAACTGGAACCGTAATTCCTGCGGCCATCACTCCTATCTTTTCATTATTGATCAGTTAAGCTGTCTAAAGTAAAGACAAATAAGTGAATGGGACCTGATGGAATACACCCAAAGCTATTAAAAGAGCTTAGTGGTGTACTAGCAAAACCATTAACAGATTTATTTAACCAATCATTGTTAACAGGAGTAGTCCCAGAAGATTGGAAGTTAGCAAATGTTGTGCCCATTTACAAGAAAGGTAATAGGGAGGAGTCGGGCAACTATAGGCCAGTAAGCCTTACTTCAGTAGTGGGGAAAGACAAGGAGGAGCCAGGCAAGGCCTACGCAGAACAGGGACATGTGAGTGTGAGGGGAATGTATATAGAGGAATGTGGTAAAGTGGTCCTGGGTCAGTGGGTGGAGTAGTATAAATAGGTTGCCATCTTACAGTACAGCAGCCATCTTAATTATCAGTTGGGAACAGGTTGGTAATTGCTGGTTGGTGTGCTCGTTATTCCTGCTTTCCAAGTGCTGTTTGCGGCCAGGTTATGGATATTGAAGCTGTCCTCTCTGCCCTCAGGGCTGAGGCCTTATAAGGTCTGCACCTGCAGACTTAGCTGGCTCATCTTCAGGCCTCAAGGAGTCAGGAGTGCAGGCCTGGCCACGTGGATTCACCGGTCTGCGTCCGCGAGGCTTGCTTCACCTCCCTTGCGGGCTTCTGTCTCTACCTGGGCAGCGTGGTGGTCTGTAGCTGTCCGCGCCCGCTTATCATCCCCATTTCCAGCCCCAACGCAGCAGCAGCAGCAGCCGCATTCCTTCTTCCTGGGCCAGCTGGTCTGCGGCTGTGCAGACTAATAGTGCTGCAGCACAAGCTGAATCTCTTTCCATGGCCATCTCCTTCTCCACCCCTGAGCGGTGGGTAAGGGCCCTAAATACCAATAAGGGGGGGAACCTATTGTCCTCCCCCCCCAGCGGTGGGTGGGGGCCCTAAATAAAAATGTAACCCCCCAGGTGACTAGGGGACCCTAAACCCCTTGACACCCCTCTCCCAACAAAATGAATAATCCCCTACCTACCCCTCTCACCTTAAAAATAGTGAGGGGGGACCAATAATTAGGTACCTGTAAAAAAAAAAAAAAAAAAAAAATATTTTTTCTAAAAAAATTTCTAAAAAGTTTTTTCAGCCCCCAAAAAGGCCAAATAAAAATCCATAATAACAGTCGCACCAGAGCGCAAAAAAATTATTCCATCTTCACCCACGGAGGGCACCGCGCAGCCTGAGCTCCGCAGGGCAAGGGAAGGCTTATAAAGCCTTGCCCCACCCTGCAATTAGGTTTAGAGCACTCTTATTGGTTGGTTGGTTTAAGCCATCCAATCAGAGTGCTCTGACAGGTAAATAAAGAGACTGACAGGTAAGTCTCTACATTTACCTGTCACAGCACTCTGATTGGTTAGCTTGAAATCCAGCCAATCAGAGTGCTCTGTGTCATTTTACACAGCGTGGGAAAGTTCTTTGGAATCAGGGGTGGGGGCCGGGGCCTGGGGGGAGAACAATAGATCCCCCCCCTATTCTAATTTAGGCCCCCCACCCGCCGCTCAGAGGCATGGGTGTGGGGGCCAGGGGAAGACAATAGGTTCCCCCCCTTATTCTAATTTAGGGCCTCCACCCGCTGCTCAGGGGTGGGGGCCAGAGGGGAGGACAATAGGTCCCCCCCTTATTCTAATTTAGGGACCCCACCCACCACTCAGGGGTGGTGGTCAGGGGGAGAACAATAAGTCCCCCCCTTATTCTAAGTTAGGGCCCCCACCCGCCACTCAGGGGTGGGGGTCAGGGGGAGGACAATAAGTCCCCCCCCCTTTATTCTAAGTTAGGGCCCCCACCCGCCGCTCAGGGTTGGGGGCTGGGGGGGAGGACAACAGGTTGCCCCTCCCATTATTTTACTTTAGGGCCCACACCTCCTCTTGTATGTCTCTAAAGCCAATTGCCATGGTGTGCCAAGTTTATTCATTTTGAAAATATGAATTAAAAGCGAGTGGGTGTCGAAAAATTATCGTTTTCAAAAGTGGGCCTTGGCCTGTAAAAGTTTGGGAAGCCCTGCTCTATACATATTGTGCCCACCAAAATGGTAACAGTTTGTTTCTTTTGGTGTTGTTAAAGTCCTCTTAATAATATTAATAAAGTGCTTTGGAATCTGTTGGTGCTATATAAATGTCAGTGACTTAGCTATAACGATATAGCTTTCAGGACTTGACTAGAGAACCATTTAGCAATAGACCTCATGCGTTGATATTCTGTATGTTTTTATGCTCGTTTTTTTAAAAGGTCCGAGCAGGAAACTCACTGACGTCACTTGCAGAATCGGGTATAGTGTGGACTGTGCATTCAGAGGGTTTTGGTAAGATCCCCATGCTACTGCCGGAGGAAGCCACTTCCCACACACTGAAGAATTATTCAATTTATTGTACCAGCAGGAATTGTTCATTCAGGACTTGGAATTCAAGGTAACTGTGAGATGGTAATCTCTAGACGTATTTACAATAAGAACCTTTTGGTATGCCATTTTTCCTGAAGATAGAAAATTTGTTGGGGCACCTGAAATTTGGTTGGATGTTGGATTGGCTTGGCTGAATTCCAATTTAGGAACTGAATACGAAGAGCAAACCAAAAATCTGTATAAACGGGCCAGTCCGTGTGATAGAAAATATAAACAAGAAGGGGTAGCGTTGGTAAGGGCAATAAAATAACAGCAATAATAGTAAGAGCAATACAATAATAGCAATAATAATTCATGTAAAATAGTTATTTTACAACAATGTGTTTGTACCATAAATACACATACCATTAATAACGATAAAAAATTATAAATTAAAAAATGACCCTAAAATAAACACTCCTAGTAGAGACCATCTAATCAAAGTTAGCACACCTTAAGGGGGCAGAACCAAATGGTGATAGACCATAAACAATCAAAGCAGTAATATAGACGGCACACCAGGTAGGGAGTCCACTTGGCGGCTAAATACCAGATTCTTCAATTGAAGTCCGAAGATAGTTCCTCCATGGCATGGTTTGGCCAGATAAAAGTGCTATAAGTGCTGATCTTGCTCCAAAGAATATGACAAAATATGGTCAGTGCTAATGTAGGTCAGACAGTTTCCTAGTACTGGTAATCACAATATATCAGAAGGTTCAGCATTGCCGTATTGCTTTCCTATGGGGATTCCGGCGACGCTGGAGGTCCTCATGCAGAGCGTGAGGACATCCAGCATCGTTTAAGCAACCAAAAGGACAGCCATGAGAGGAGGCCTTAACCCTGCAATGTAATTATTACACTTTATAAAAAGTATAATAATTACACTTGTAGGATTAAGGGTGGTGGGAGTTGGCATCCAGACCACTCCAATTGGCAGAAGGGGTCTGGGTGCCTGGAGTGTCCCTTTAAACAATCCCTCCAAAATCCCAATATTTACCCCTAGACTACCCAAGGGACACTCCGCTACTGTTGCGGTCACTTGGCTAGCACCTAACCCGCTGCAGCAGAAACAGGTCTTGCCCAACCTAAAGGCCGTCCTAAGCCCATGTTACATGGCGAAAGCCAATTAATATCGTTTCCCTCATTTGCAGTTTCCTTTTTTTTCTTCTTTTTTTTTTAATATATCTTACTGGTTACATTGCTAGTGTTAACATTATTCTACCTTTAACCATGACGACCCTCTGAGTTACATCTCAGAACTCCAAAAATGGACGCTCTCCAGTCGTGAACCTACCCAGGCTCCCTCTCAACCACAACACACTCGACGATTTGTTACCTACAGTTGCAAGAAAAGTATGTGAACCCTTTGGAATGATATGGATTTCTGCACAAATTGGTCATAAAATGTGATCTGATCATCATCATCTAAGTCACAACAATAGACAATCACAGTCTGCTTAAACTAATAACACACAAAGAATGAAATGTTGCCATGTTTTTATTGAACACACCATGTAAACATTCACAGTGCAGGTGGAAAAAGTATGTGAACCCCTAGACTAATGACATCTCCAAGAGCTAATTGGAGTGAGATGTCAGCCAACTGGAGTCCAATCAATGAGATGAGATTGGAGGTGTTGGTTACAGCTGCCCTGCCCTATAAAAACACACACCAGTTCTGGGTTTGCTTTTCACAAGAAGCATTGCCTGATGTGAATGATGCCTCGCACAAAAGAGCTCTCAGAAGACCTACGATTAAGAATTGTTGACTTGCATAAAGCTGGAAAGGGTTATAAAAGTATCTCCAAAAGCCTTGCTGTTCATCAGTCCACGGTAAGACA